ATCATGGCCTCCAGGAAGCAGGTTCAGGGTTCCGCTGGCCAGGGGGGAACCTGTAACATCAAAACATGCATACATCAGAAACGGTTGGAGTAAAACAAAGGAACTTCAACAATCCCAACTGGCTGTGGGCACACCGTGTCAAAGTATCCGTGAGGAAGGCATGGAGGTCCGCGATCGTTTGGTATGCGAGTCCCGCGGCCTATCAAGGTTAACAGGGGAAGTTCTGAAGAAATGTTTGCGGATCCCGTGGTTCTTTGCCTAAGAACTAGTGTGGCCTTGTGGGATCTCAGCGAAGGGGATGTCCGCCCTCCTGTTCCACAGTTGAGTCCATCAGGTAATCGTTGCGTTAAAAGGAGTCCTTGGGTGCCCGCCGGCATTGGTCTTTTGGAGCAGCTCTGGGACTTCTATTCGGGTCTGCCTCCGATGGTGATCGGTCCCGTTTGCGACTAGGCCTCTCGGCACCCATCTTCGTACCCATCCGGTACCGTAATAGTCGGGATGCCTAGGTGCGTGCAGAATTTCTCCGCTTCCTCAGGTAGGCGCAGGGTAACCGTGCGGCCGCGATGTAATGCGGACAGGCAAAACGGAAACCTCCAGCGGTATGAAATGCCATGGTTGCGTAGATAGTCCAGAAGCGGGCGTAGTGCTCTACGTTGCTGTAAGGGGATGTTGGACAGGTCTTGAAAGAGTTTCACCTCTGAACCGTCATACTTGATCATGGCCTTAGCTCGGGCTCGCTGCAGGATCTCCTTCTTTAGCGGGAAGTTCTGTAAGCAGCAGATTATGTCCCTCGGGATGTCATCCTGCAGGTTTCAGTGCCTCGGCGTCCTGTGAGCTCTCACAAAATCAATGGGGGACTCAGGCGGGCGATCCAGTAGGTTGTTAAAGGTGTCAGTCAGGGCAGTCTTAACTAAGTCCTGCATGACCGTCTCAGGAACCCCCTGACACGGATGTTCGCCCGGCGGCCCCTATTATCTAGGTCTTCCATGTGGCGGCGCATATCGATCATCGAGCGGGTGGTGTTATCTTGGTGAGCCCGCAGAGAGTGGATGGCGGTGTCTCTCCCCGCTCCGGCCTGCTCCACCTCCCGAAGCCTGCGGTCTATATCCTGTATGTCCTGTCTGAGCTCAGAGACCGGCGAGCTCAGAGCATTCTTAATGTCACCGGCAAGTAGGGTAAGATCTGACCTGGTAGGTAGTTGTTGGATGTAGGAGGACATCGAGCCCGGATCCATGGGGGCCGGAGGCACAGCTGAGGTTCCACATGCTGTATACGGGCTAGCCGTGGTCTGCGCCATATTGGAAGAGTGGGTAGTCGAAGTGTCCGATCGCTGTGTACGGAACATTTCGGGGAATTGGCGGCTCAGTTGGTCCCATCCGACCCAGGAGATCTGGACCTGCCGTCCTGTCTGCCTATTTTCCCCATTATAGTCCGGGGCAGGATTATGTAGCTTCGCTCGGGAGATCTGGAGACGGAGCTCTGGAGTTAAGCGTCCATCTTCTTCAGTGCCAGGCCACGCCCCCTTTATTAATTTTTTTCACTTAACTTTATTGTTATCACACAGGAGCTAACAATTCCCTGTGTGATAGCATTTGGAGTTGACAGGTTCTTTTTATTGAATCTGTCACCTCCAATACAGTGGTTATAGCACAGCATTGTGCTGGAACTCCTGTGACAGCTGGGATGGGAAGGCTGTGTGTACAGCCCTCCCGTCTCAGTGTTAACACAGAGCAGAGCGGAGAACGGACATTCTCCACTCTGCTCCCGACTCTCCATTATGAAGCAATTTGCTGTGGTCCCAGGTCCCTCTAGAAGAGTGGGGGACCTCAAAAACTATGAAAGGGAGGGAAGCAGCTGGTTGGGAGAGAGGTGGCCGGCAGAGGTGGATGGACCATGGAGGGAGGAGGGGGTGGCAGAGGGTTGGGACGGAGCAGCAGGCTAATTACAAGTGATGTCGGTGGCACAACCTCCAACATCACTTCACCGGCTCCCCTTCTGTAGATTTAGCGCCGCTTGCCCAAAGCAGGGATAAATATATACTGTATATTGAAGCATCCTGGTCTTCCATAACACCTCAGCAGTGCCACAGGCTGATAACTTCCATGCCACACGGCATTGAGGCAGTAATTGCTGCAAAAGGGGCCCAAACCAAGTACTGAGTACATATGCATGCTTATACTTTTCAGAGGTCCGATATTGTTCTATGTACAATCCTTGTTTTATTGATTGCATGTAATATTCTAATTTTCTGAGATTGTGGATTTGGGGTTTTCATGAGCTGTAAGCCATAATCATCACAATTATGACAAATCACGGCTTGAACTATCTTGCTTTGCATGTAATGAGTCTATCTCATATATTAGTTTCACCTTTTAAGTTGCATTAGTGAAATAAATTAACTTTTGCACGATATTCTAATTATTTGAGTTTCACCTGTATGTAGGAGCAGCACATTAATCTACAATATTCTACAAATCTTCAACATGTCACTAAATAAGCCAACTTATCTAAACTTATAACCATATTATTTATCTTGTCTACATACAGTATGTCCTATGACTCTGCAAATAATGCAAACTGTGCAAAATGTCTGCAAGTAATATAAGCTGTGCAAAATTTCAATAAAAGAGAGTGACAAGTGCTCAACAATCCATAGTGTATTCAGTCTACTAATTAATTGCTGTGCTTATTTAGTCCAATGCTGTGTTTCTCCTGGTAAATTATATGAAATCCAGTGCTCAAAATGTCACTTCTCTCCTATTGTGTTCCACACAGTCCAGTGACACTTCCCTCACCATCAAACTGGCACTCCCCTTATTCAATAGAGCTCAACTAACCTAAATTAGGTCAATAACGCTTAGACACACAATTGGTCACAGTGATACACATGAATATACAAAGAATGAAGTCATAATAGACACTACCAAAAGTATGTGCACTGTGTCCTTACTAAAGGCAAAGAATATTATAATAATATACAGTATAATAATATCCGGCAATCATGTATATATATATCTGGGGAGATAAGTAATTTGTAGCAGAGAGATAACGTTTTAGAAAGGGGGCCTGTTGTATTGCACTCTCTCTCGAACGGTGATAGCGGTCTAGAAAAAAGACTCGGCGACGGTAATGAGGATAGTGTGTCAGTTGGCGTATTCTCCAGAAGCCTAAGGTTGACAGAGATGGGTCCGACGTTAGCTCAGAAAGAGTGGGCCACGCGGTCCCTTGAGAAAGTGGAAAGGTCTGAACTTATCTTGCTTCCCCAGTCGGCGGAATACCGCGTCCTGAATGCCGGGAGAGAAGTCCGGAGTCCCGATAACTGGGTGTAAAGGGGATGGTGAGATTTAGAAAGGGGGCCTGTTGTATTGCACTCTCTCTCGAACGGTGATAGCGGTCTAGAAAAAAGACTCGGCGACGGTAATGAGGATAGTGTGTCAGTTGGCGTATTCTCCAGAAGCCTAAGGTTGACAGAGATGGGTCCGACGTTAGCTCAGAAAGAGTGGGCCACGCGGTCCCTTGAGAAAGTGGAAAGGTCTGAACTTATCTTGCTTCCCCAGTCGGCGGAATACCGCGTCCTGAATGCCGGGAGAGAAGTCCGGAGTCCCGATAACTGGGTGTAAAGGGGATGGTGAGGTCGATATTTCTTTGGATTTGAATGCCAATTTGGCCACTTTCAGAGTGGGGCCAATAGTGGGGTGTAGCTGGATGTGTCTCGGGGCGTGACGTATACACCAAGGGAGGGTCTGCAAAGGAATGAAGGAGAAGGACTGTTCCAACACGACCCAAGCCTTGAGCTCCCCGTGTCTACACCAGTCTATGATCCGAGAGAGATGTGCCGCGAGGTAATATAGGTGAACATCTGGCAGCGCCAAGCCTCCATGAGGCTTGGGACGCCGCAGAATGGAGTGCCGGATCCTAGCTGGTCCACGGGCCCAAATAAAGTTAGACGCTGTGTGTTTTCTATCTTCTTTCATTTTGGCGCTCACTTCCATAGATACTCTTTTCTCTTTTTTTTTTCATCTCAATCACTCTAACAATCCTCCCTCTCTCTTGCTGGTCCCTTGTGACTGTCACCAGCAGTGACACTAACTCAGCCTAGGGTCTGTTAATCTATTCATATCCATGGAGTTCACCCTCCTTTGGGGGGCTCAGCTGGCTGAATGAACAGTAGCCTGGGGTTGTAGCAGTCCAGGGGCAAGGAGGAGAATGAAGGTCACAGCAAGATTTAGGGAGAAAGAGTTCATAGAGCAGAGTATAGTGAGAAAATAGCTAGGATGAAAACCACTTAGGAAAGAGAACGACTGGCGACAGAGACATGCATATATATGTTTGTCAAAATATTGCAAATATAGCTGGACTAGACAATGAGGGCAGAAAGGGACAATGTTTTGCAAATAAAAAAGATGAGAAAACAATCTCTTTTTATAGAATCTGTTTGTTTTCAGTACCCGTGAGTCTCAATTTCTGCATGTAAAAAGATTACAACAACATTGTAGTTTATTGAGCTACATGTCATTTGTAGGGTTCTCTTTAAAAACTAGAGCATAGTGTTGTACAAAATAATAAGCAGATCCCACCTGTTGTGAATATGGAAGTATCTGACAGCTAGGACTCGGAGCAATACTTTAGTTTTATAGATAAGCTTGTCTAATGAAAATCTGAAGAAAGGGTAGCATAGCATAGAAGCTACTGACTTTCTCTTTCATCATCCCATCCCCTTTCTGGCATAGAAGGCAATGGCGTTCTCTCTCATCATCCCATCCCCTTTAGAAAAAGTGATGGAGATAAAAATTGAGACACAAAACTTGTGTGCACATAACTTTACTAATGGTTTGTGAAAATAATAGTAAATTTGATATATTTTGTTCTTTCTTGATCTCTTTTTGTATCGCTATACCTATCCCATCATCTGAATGCTTTCTATTATGCATAGTTAATGTTAACTTACATGCTTAAGTAACTGACATATTCCTCTCTTTTTATCCCCTCTTTTCATACAGAGGATCATGTGATCGAAGGTGAGTAGCTGCTTGTTTAAATAATACCATTTGATGCCTGCTTTAATAATGTCATCTGAGACTCCTTAGGTATCTAAGAGGAAAAGGCTTAGGTGTTGCTATGATTATTTCTAAGCGTGCTACTACTTGATTCCTTTTCTCAGTTTCTTCTAACCAGTAATTTTTCTTCTTCTAGTAACTCCTGTTTGTTCACCATCCCCTACTATGTTGCATTCGCGTCACCTGACTCCTCTGCACATAATAATGAGCAAGAATTATGCAAATTATGCTAATTAGACATTAATGGGAAAGCACAGGCCTGGAAATCAAGAGTGATTTAGGGTAAAGGAAAGAAAGAAGAAGAGACGAATGTGAGATAAAGTGAGAAAAAGCTAGAAAGAATTGATTAAAAAAAAGAAACTGGGAATAAAGTTCTTCTACAAGGCAGCAATGTACGTGAACCACGATGGGTTTTTTTTTGCATCACCAGTAGCAATATGCTCATTTAAACATTGTGGCAAGAATTGAAGCCAGTTTATTATCAGTAAAACAAGAAAAGCTCTGTGTAAAAGATGATTCAATTAGAACTTTGGACATAAAGTTGTATGCCTTCAGGCTTCTAAATGGAAATCAACCACTGGTGGCAGGCAAATGCCAACTAGTCAATAGCTCTTGGGGAAACACTGATCAGACAGGTCAGGTCTCCTCTGAGGCAAGTGGTGCTGGCAGTGTCAGTTTGCTCTTCTCCCCCACCTTATGCATGCATGTTATGCCATGTGTTAATATGTTTTGCATTAGGGCAGCCGATTCATTTGAAATTTGAAAAATGTGCATGTACTATTTTCTACAACACATCGTGGTGCAATATTATGGGTTGTGGTGTGCTGCATATACGTTGTTGAGATGCGTTGGGGTGTCATTCACAACAATGGCACAGCTTCACAACAATGTGCATGAGACACGCTACAATAACACACATTACCGTAGCGCAGTGGTGTAAATACAGGTCAAGGATTAAATCCATTAAGATTCAATAACATTATTATAATCAGAGACTATGACTTAGCACTGTTTTGTGTGAAACTCATCAGAGGGTTCTTTTGATTACTAAGGGTATGCTGTATTGTGTTCCTTTTTACCAATAAACACGCTGGGGGGAATTTATCAAAACTGGAGCAGACAAAATCTGGAGCAGCTGGAGCAGCTGTGCATAGCAACCAATCAGCTTTTCTCAGTTTGTTCAGTTAAGATTTGAAAATGAAAGATAGAATGTGATTGGTTGCTATGCACAACTGTTCCAGATTTTGTCTGCTCCAGTTCTGATAAACCCCTCTCAATGCATTAGCAACATTCCAGAGTGTGGTTCTTCCCCATCTCAGTGGAAGCAAAAAGGTTGACAACTGAGCTGATGTGGAAATAAAAAACAGGAGGGCCAGTTTACATTTAAGCAGCCCGCCTACACCAGGGCTGCCCACAATTTTTCGTCTGGAGATCTACTTTTCAAATGAGGAGCTCAATGAGGTCTACCAGCAAAAAAAAAAAAACACCTTTATCTAGAAAACAAGCACATTAAAATAGTTACTGGTACTAATGCCTCTCTCTGCTGTCTCTCTCTGGGCCTGTTCACTCCACAAAGTCTGCGTTCAAGAGCGTTTGGCCTGTGGAACGCAAACTGGCCGGCTCCCTGCATTCAGGGGCGGGAGGTGGCATGATGTTGCATTGAAGTCAATGGCACGGCAACCACGCCCCCAACCCGCTTTGCAATCGCCCGGACCCGGAACGCTGGCATATTAGTGTCTGCGGTGCCATTGACTTCAATGCACTGCCACACCCCCTTGCGCCCCTGAACACAGGAAGGCAGCCGTGTTGCGTTCCAGAGGCTGAACACTCTGGCGCGCAGACGTTGTGGTGTGAACCGGCCCTCTCTCTGGGCTGTCTCTTCTCTCTCTCCTCGTGCTCTCTCTCCCCTGTCTCTCTGTCTCTTCTCTCTGCTGTCTCTTCTCTCGCTCTGCTGTCTCTTCTCTCTGCTGTCACTCTTCTCTCGCTCTGCTGTCTCTTCTCTCTGCTGTCACTCTTCTCTCTCTCTGCTGTCTCTTCTCTCCTGGCTGTCTTTACTTACCTGCACTGCAGCAGCTTCCCGGGTCTCCTCTCAGGTGCATTGATCTGTCCTCCCACGGTGCTCGTGTGGCCAAATATGGCCGACGCTGCACACAGGGAGAGCTGTCCTGCCCCTTCCTGTCTGCAGCGTCTGACACATTCAGCCACACGAGCATCGTGGGAGGGAGCTCAGGTAAGTGAGCGGATCGCGATCTACCAGTGTTCGCTTTGCGATCGACTGGTAGATCGCGATCGACCTAATGGGCATCCCTGGCCTACACATTACAAACATCTGTCTGAACAGATACTGTAAACCTGTGTTCTAATAACGAAGTGCAATAGCTGTATAATTCCTTCTACATTGGTGATTTACATGTCATAGAAAAGGTAATGGCATGCACAATATCAAGGTTATTCAGAAAAGGGTCAAGAGTTTGGAGAAGGCAGGAGAAGTGAACAATCTAGGCCAAAATAGCTGATTTGGAAAAATTCTCCAGTTCAACTCACTTTCCAGTTCAGCTATGTTGTCCTAGATTGTTCACTTCTGCCTTCGCCAAACTCTTCGTCCTTTAGCGAATAAGCGAATATGTTTCTGGAAATTGCCTGGCACTAAAAACATTGCCAGAAAGGTCCTTTTAAATATTTCTGTTGAAAGACATTAAAGGAAACCTGTCACAAACATAGACATATTTGCACTGTGCAAATATACACTACGGCGAGCAGTAATATTTAAAATGATAATGCACAATGAAGTTCAGGTGCAGTTAAGATGAGACGTATTTCCGATGCAGCAAAGTGACATTAGACAAAAAGGGGGAAAAAATGACAGTCCGCAGAAGAAAAAAAAAAAAAAGCATGAGGTTTCCCCCCAATTATTACCAGACACTTTTGGTCTGGTAGGAATGTTGGGAGGGACCTCCCCAAGTTAAAAATAAACAAAAGTGCGTGGGTTTTCCACCAAAAGTCATACCAGGCCATTTAGGTCTGGTAGGAATTTTAAGGAGGAACCCCACTCTCAAAAAATGGGTTAAGAAAAATGTGGGGTCCTCCCTAAAATTCCTACCAGACCCTTGATCCGAGCACAGGCCTGGCAGGAAAGGGGGGACGATTGAGCGCCCACTCCTCCCTGCACCAAACCAGGCCGCATGCCCTCTGCATTGGGTTTCCCCATGCTGATAGGACAAGGGCCTCTTCCCCACAACCCTGGCCCGGTGGTTGTGAGGCTCTGCGGGCAGGGGGCTTATTTGCATTTGGTACTCCTTTAATATAGGGAGCACCCAGATGCCACTCCCCCCTTTTAAATGAGTAAGGGGTGCTTGTACCCCTTTTCATTCACTAAAGGGTTAAAAGTAAATGTAAATAAACACACCACATATTTTGAAAAAGTCCTTTAGTTGAAAAAAAAAATGGCTCCATTGATGTAATCCAGCGTCAATCACGATGAACGATGCCCACAGACTTGCCGACATAAAAAAATCCAGCCGCAAAAAGTCGCCGCAAAATGACAGCTCCAGCCTAAATGTAAATAAATGGGTAGATTAAGCCATGACATCATGGGGCTTGTTCCACCCATTCGCATAGAATTCGCAAGCTCCCGAATTCTATTGCCATTTGGGTTTGTGTGCCGAGTTGTCATAATACTAGATATGTAAGCTGGCAAAAAAAATTGTTTCGTTTAGTTTTGTTTCGGATGTTTCCTTATTTCATTTTTCGGGTCTGAAAGTCAATTTGTTTCGGCATTCGGATTCGCATGGATCCGTATTTCTTTAACCGCTTGAAGTCCAGGTGTTTGGACCCCCTTCCTGGCCAGGCCATTTTTCAGTATTCATCGCTGCGGTACTTTGATTGACATTTATTCTGTCATGCAACGCTGTATTGAAATTAATTTTGTACAATTTTTTGGGGACAGATAGAACTTTCTTTTGGTGGTATTTAATCACCACTGGGGTTTTAATTTTCTACTATATTTCGGGAAAATTACTGAAAATTTTGTAAAATAATTTTTTTAACATTATGTTATAATACAATTATTATTGCCCAATTTTTTGGTAAAATATAAAAGACGGGGTCACGTCGAGTAAATAGACACCAAACATGTCAAGCTTAAAAATTGCACGCACCCCCGAAATCGCAAAAAACTACCATACCCAAAATTGACCACAGGCGATGCTTTAAAAGCTTTTACCGCTCATCAGTTTAGTGTTATCAGTGATTGATAGCCCGAGAATTATTGCTCTCACTGCGATGTTTGGGGCGATATGTAACATGTGCAGCGCAATTATTTTTGCAGGTATGAGCACCCGAGGCATGTTTGCATGTGTATATGTATAGAAGGGGACTTTTAAAAAAAATTGTTTTTTTAATTCTTTTTTTATGTGTAACTTTAAATAATTTTTTTGGGAAACTTAAATTTTTTTCACTTAACTTTATTGCTATCACATAGGGGGGTAAGAAACCCCCCTATGTAATAGCCAATTTACAGTGACTCTTTATGGAGACATCAGGGGTCCCCCTATAGTAGCCAGAGAAATGACAGCTAAAGGTGGATGTAATACACATCACTTCCGCCTTTAAAAAGAGAGAAAGGGTCCCCACACACCTTACGATTATCGCACGATAATCGCGGGAAATTCCGCGATCGTACGATTATCGTAAGGTGTGTGGAAGCCGTGCGACCTCTACTACTGTAAGGTCGCACGACTTTAAACTTACGGACATGTTTGAAAACCCGCCGAGCATCGTACGATGTTCGGCGGGTTTGTGGCATGTCCGTACGATAACAGCCGTACGGCCCGGTGTGCGCAAGCGCACACTGCCCGTTCGGCATTGCGGTCATCGGAAGCCCGCCCCTCAGGGGGCGTGGCTTGCGATCATCGCAAGTACGATCTGCCTATGCAACATAGGCAGATCGTACGTTTTTTTAAGTACCTTACAACCATCGCAAGACAAAAGTCTTGCGATGGCTGTAAGGTGTGTGCCCAGCCAAAGAGAGATCAGCAGTGGGGGAATGCGGATCTCTCCACCTTCTCTGTACTAGTAGCCGCTGTGCCAGTGTTCTCGGGATAACCGGCAGCGGCAAAACACAAGGGGGGGCACGGCAGCAGAGAGGGGGGTGCATACAAGCAATCGGCTCTAGAGCCGGCCAAACGCTTGTATGTAACAGCCGGTAATGGCTGTGTACATTCCCGGCGAGACTCTTTAGAAAAAAAATCACATACATGCAAGGGCGGAACTACCGCCATAGCGACCCATGCGGGCGCTATGGGGCCCGCGCCAGAAGGGG